TCTTCAAGATCTGGCAGTCTTTGGATCAAATGTCGAGAGAAACAACGTAGATGGGAAATTTAGAAGGATACATCGGTCTTGTAACTTTTGTATCACACTATCAAGTCTTCCTTAGCTATGAATGGGTAGTGATTCAATCTGATTTAGGATTACAAAATACTACTCTTTTAACTCTTTTTCTTTGAAAAAAAAAAGAAAAAAAGTTATTTCTAAAAAAATATATAGAAACATTCTAACACTGATAATGAACAACCATGTTCTTGGAAAAGGCTCCTTCATAAAGACATTGACCAAAAACATTAGGATTATTATAAACCTAAATCTGTGGCTCAAAATCTTACATTCTCTACACTTGCACACACAATATGGCTAGTAAAACTCAGCTGACCTCATCACAATGTGGTATATAAAAGGAAGACACTGGTGGACTCTAGGCTATGAGCTCTTCCAGGGCCTTGTCTCTGTCGTTATCATGTTTTAAGAGAGCATCGACTATTCTTTCATCCTCAAAACCTAGATCACACAGCTGAAAAAGATGCACAAAATTACTTTAAGGCGAATGGGGGGAAAAAAGACAAAATGACAAAAAATAAGACAATAGCAAAAGCCTGCAATGGAAAGAAAGAAAAAAAAAAGTTTGATGATTATACGAGGTTTAAATCTTTCAGTCACCATTTACAAGGTCATTCATATGTCTATCATGTTATTCAAAGTTTCATGCAAGCTATCTTGACAACTATATATTATGAGAAAAGATTATTGAGGAGGAGAAAACATTCTTCACCCATTTAAAAGTGGAATAATAATTTAAAAAAGGTTAGCAGCCAGTAATGCAGCATTGTTGACGTACATCAGCAGTTTCCCCCATTTGCACCCAGTTCATTCAGTACTTCAATGAACAACATTGGGCACCTAATAACTCATACTTGTTTTTCATTTTAAGAAATAAAAAAGTAAAGTCTTTCCTTGACTTTATGTTTCTGTGTCTAATAGTGACACCAAACAAATTATGTCACTGCTATTAGAGAAAGGTCCAGATGCAGTGCCATCTACAACTCAGTCCACCACAGCCAATGCAGGACATCAAGCCAACCACGACCAAAGAGATATAAGTCTTAGTGATGAATATCAGCCAAAATACTTAAAACAATATTGTATGATCTAGTTTCACAGTCATATCTAACTTTATCTATCAATCCTGTGGGCAAAACTGGATTTCACAGATTTTACAGAGAGCATTTGAAGTCTCCCTTTTCTAAGGATACCTTCATAAAAAAACATTCAATTCAAACAAACTCATTTTTGCAAACTGCAGCTTAACCCTTACTGCCACTATATTTTGAAGCCAAAAATAAAAGTTTCCGGGCAGCTACAAAATCAGTGTGCAGGGCTGGCCCAGACTCTGCCCGATCGTGAGCCACGGCCCGCTGCTGCGTCTAAGTGCAAGCCCCGATACAGCGTCACACTGGCAGGATGCCCGGCAATGTTTATTTTTTCAGGTGTCTCATATGTGGGACACCTGTCGTTACTGGGTTAACAACTTGACTGAAATTTTGCAAACAGGAAGATGATCTTCTTTATGCTTATTAAGCTGACACTGGGGAGGAACTGAAAAAGTCATGCTCTATGTAATTGTAACAATATAAAATTCTTCAACAACACTTTCAAAGCCTGTTTCCACAAAGACAAAATATAAAGTAGAGGTTTCAGGTTATGATAATGAAAGTAATCATAACTTAATCAACTGATGCCAGGTAACTGCACTGTACAGAATAGTTTTGTTTTGTAAATTAGGCCTACACAAAGATAGCTCCAAAAGCTCTTAGCCACCAAAGAGTCAATAAACATCCTTTCCTGATCTCATATCATATACCCATTTTCTTCTATTACTTTTAATTAGGTCATTTAATATCATTACTATTCTTCATATCATTACTGACATTTGGATTACAACATTAACCGTTCACTCCAAATGATTTTAAAAATGTGCATTGCTCGGTACAGGGCACTCGCCTGTAAGCAGTAACTTTGATTGTGTCATTCTGAGTGTCTCTTATTTAAAAGTTTCTCCCATTCACTCACTCACTCACTGAATCATTCACTGACTCACTCACTCACTCACTCTCTCTCTCTCAGAAAGAGAGAAAATTCCTCTAGTTCATTTCATGGTAAACTAAGGTAAAGTATATTTATCTCTCTCTCTTATTTGGAGCAAAGTGTTTGAGAAATGAAGATGGAGAGGGGGTTAAGAGGGCAAGGAATGAACCAGGGTGGGGGGAAAATGTACCTCCCCTGTACAGTCTCCCATCCCAGGTGGAGGGGTATGTGGTGAGGTAAAGGAAAAGGGGGATATGGAGAAAAAAGGAAAAACCACAGAGAGGAAAACTGTGACTGTGATTGCCAATGATAGTTCCTCATTCTGGGTAGAAGGTGGGGCATATGTCTAGCTGATTTACATGATTGGTGGGAACAAGGATGGTGAGTGGAGCTAATGAATTTGTTGGACAATATACAGTCTAAAAATAGAGCCAGAACAGAATACAGGATTAATCTGCAGTTACTAAAATAAAATGGAATTATGACGCCAACATTGGTATCACAGTATATTCCAATTACACTTCATGATGCCAACATCAGTGTCTCTGTATAAAACTGGTTAATGCTGATAGCAATTATAAATAATAAGTAACCTTTTTATACAGAATAATCATACTGACCATGTCTGGTATAGACACTCTTATGTCATGCTTATGTCCAGATTATGATATAAGTCATCAGCCTATTAATGATCCATACTGTGAATATAATATTTTGCTTTGAATTTTTTGACCAACAAAAGATGAGATCTACAGCATCTGATGTTATCTCAGAAGCTAATATTGTATGTGCTTCTTCCATTTATAGGCTTTAAGCTGCACACTCATAAGGTCATAACAGCAAAATTAGCATTTTATTTCAGTTTCTGGAAATACTACCCACTACTAAAAATTCTATTTATTCTACTTAATGTTATTTGTAATAATTTGCAAAAATCACTACAAAAAATGTATTTCCCCCCAACTTGGTAACTTGGAATGTTATAAAATGTATTATGGATTTCATAAAAAGTATCATGTGAAAGTACTGCTCCTACCAGGGCAGTCTATAAAAAAGTGATACCATTACTATATGGATATTTTATGTACCATTATAAACAAGTAATACAATACAATATGAATACTTTTTAGCTCTACTCTCTCTTATTCTACTTCTTCTTTTTTTCTGGATATTGCTCCAGCAGAACTACAGTGAAATCAAAAACTTTTCACCAAATTACCTGTTTTGCTGCTGCCAAATGGTCTTTCGTTTTTTGCAAGTCCCCCATATAGTGGTAAAAAGCACGTTCTGCTTTGTATTCATCTTCTCCAGCATCCTGGAGATTTTGCAACACCAGAAGAACCTCAATAAGCTGAAAATAAAAGGACAAACATCTTGCATTGAAACTTTATATAAAAAAAAAGTAAATAAAAATAAATATATGAATAGAAATCTATAATGTGAAAAATACAAGGATCTCTAAAATAGAATAATAGTGACAACAAATTCACAACTTTTCACAGGTCTTTTCCACAAGTAATTCTACTGCAGTGTTCTACCTTTTTATGATCCGTGCCCAGTTTCTGAACAGCTCTGGCAACCCTCGGTCGTGGGAAACCCATTTCCGCCATACTCTGCACTAAAGCCTGGGCATCAGCTGTCAGTTCAATGAAGGGATCTGGGAGACGTGTCTTTGTTGGCGTGTACTGATGGGATCCTACCGTGGTCTGTGAGAGTCCTTGTTGATAGGAATGCTGAGCAGGAGAGGACTCAGGTGTACTTGGAAGGTCAGGAAGTGGCTTCCAGTCCTACAGACATTTTAAGAGTAATAAATCAGTCTGGATTTGGTAAGGAAATATTCCTTTTCCCTACGACAGAACCAAAGTTGCTACATATAAAGAAAAAGATTACATAAGCAAGAGAATTAACATATTTATATATTTATACAGAGTAAGTCTCAAATTTCTAAGATGATAAACTTCTCATATTAGGAAACCAATGTCATACTTACCTCCAACCCACTGAGTCCTGTGCTTGAGGGTCGAGGTGGAGGTGTGTGTGAAAATCCTCGACCTTCCCCAGCTGATGGAATCCTACTATTGTAAGACGTGACTTCAGAATCCTCAGCAGCACTCAAATCTGGAACACTTCGACAAGACCGTAATGATCCTGTGGTGGACCCTAAAGCACCAGAACTACTGCTATGGCTTGGTGTTGAGTCCCCAGACCGGACGCCAGATTGCTGGGCCTGAGTCACCGTTGATTTGTTTGGAGAATAATATCGAGTGTAGAAATCTTCTAGGTCTTGCCTTTTGCCAACTGTTCCTCTTTCTATTGTAGAGCTATTTGATAGACCACTACTCATAGACACTGGCACTGTGGGTGCTGCAGTCACAGTCCCAGTAATGTTACTTGGACTTAGCACACCCTGTGATGTGCTTGGAACACTATTGTTGGCTTGCAGGCGATAATCATATGGACCAAATGGAGCACCTTTATTAGGACTACCAGCACTATAACTATTGTTCCACTGCTGTGGGTAATAAGTATTTTGGAATGACCTATCAGGTCCTCCCCCATACTGGTGACTATTATTGTAAGAAGGCACCGGTGATGCAGCAGACGTTACCGGAGAATTCTTTCCTAAGTGACCTGTGAACTGCCCAAAATTTTGCCCTGGCTGAGGCACAGTGTGGTGCAACTGTTGCTGCAAATAATAGGGGTACTGGCCATAGGCATTGTAAGCCACCTGGCCATTAGGATATGTGGTAGGAATGGTTCTCTTATCTTCAGAAGAATTTTGCTTTGAAACTGTGTTTCGGTCCAATGACTGTGACCCAGTCCCCATGTTGGTGGAATCAAGGACCTTTGCCAGCTCCTCCATGTCATTGATTGATTTCAGTGCAGCACTGTCAAAGGGATCA